GAAGTGACACCGGATCTGAAAGAGTGGCTATTGAAAAACCTAGCTCGATTAGTATGTGAACAGAAAAACAATTTGTACTTTATCACTGTCCGAGCCACCCTTAAATCACACCAGTTTTTGGTCCAACTTACCCGAATCGATTCATCCCAGTTTACAACATGGAGCACCTATATGTATAATCCGTACACGGAACTCAATTTGGTCTTAAATGAGCCTTACTTTGTGTTCTCCCCGCTACACTTGCCTATCGGAGTGGATGAAATGAAGTTTCGAGTGGATGCGCTCCCACCCAAGACCATATTCGTGCCTTTGGCCGATGTGAAATCGATCATCAATCAGGTCCACAGTGATTGCGGTCAAAATGTGTGCTGCCCGCGACTCACAGTGCTAACTTTCGCCATGGATTCGGCCACTTAGGGAGTGAGGTCGAAGCTCGATAGAAGCTTGATCCCATGTAACTTTCATCTGGTAACTAACTACGGTTGTTTACCAGTTTGTTTTTATGCGTAATTGTATAATTGATCGTATTTTTAATAAACCGTGAACCAAAATGTGGTTTTCTTCAAATGGCTTAAAATAACCCGTCTCGTCACGCGCACATTCAAGGGGAGGGGAGGGGCGCTGGTTTGTATTTGATATTCTGTTGTTCACCGAATTCTCCAGAACCCGGTAAAATATTTGTCTTGTTGCACACTAAATTTCCAATTACAAAAGATTGGGAGACTGGTCTTGTTTTGGTGAAGTGCGAAATGTCAAAACCTTCTTGTCGGGAATCGTGAACAGTTAAGAGGACATACATTGCATTGTGCCTTCACGTGTCCTGAAGGCCTGTTCATTTTCGAGACGAACTAATTTAAACCAGGGAGTAGGAGAAGTAATCCGGTTGGACATGCACAGTCTCCAAGGCGTACGTACATCCTGATTTACGTGATCACGGAAAACAGAGGAGTCAGGACAGTCAGAATGGCTTTTTAAGTCTCGTAGCTTCATCAGGTTCGCTGGGGAGCGCTGTCTGATTCGAAACTCGCAGTGATGTGACATCGAGTTAAAAGGTGAGAAAATTTTAAGACTGCATACTCAGATGTCAGTAGCAGAAAATGGCATTCCACGCGCACAGCGATCGATAAATGTTAACAAAGCCTTCTTTTATTGATTAGGAGCACAAGGGGCAGTATTGTGCGATCAACCAGTGTTTCAGCGTTATCTTCCTGGTAGACTGTAGTAATTGAGGTAGGTAAAGATTACGGACCACAAATCACGATCAGAAATAAAGCACAGAATCGCACTAGCAATCGTACACTGAAATCAGCCGTCACTGAGAGGTAGAACACAAGACCACAGAAGTAACGGTTCATCAACTGGAATAAATCAATGAGATCAAATAATGTGCAAATAGAAATATCATTGGTCAAACGGATATCAACCAATAGCCGTCTATGTTCTTCGAGTCACAGTGCTTCTGTTTGAACTGCATGGCTATTGAGCGATCGATACTGGTGGTCCATTACCCAATGTCCAGAAACTGGAACACGTAAGCGCTTTGCTGGTGTCATCTCGGGGATTGACTCACCACAGAACTGTACTCACCTTATCGGGAACCGCTAACAGTTTATGATATCCCCCCCTTTGATCATGTGGCAAATGAGGAAGTATTCGGTATGACGGTTTTGTGAGTAATGACGAGCATTTAGTGATCATTACACATTTCATAGAAGTCAAGCTCCTCACGGGGGTAGATGAAGTACAATTGACTGGCGAAATCGAATCTGTTGGGTTCGAACCTTGGCTTAAGTTGCTTTCTTGCGGGTTATAATGAACAGAATTCGGTTAATGGGGTTCCGCTTCAAAGCGCATGTAGGAAACCTCCCGTAAAAGTGTGATTGATGAGGCATGACAGCAAGTATTTCACTCCAAAGATGTTGGGAACAAAGCTGTTCTAGAGATCCATTGAAAACGATAGCCTGTGCGCAACCTC